GAAAGAGTGAAAGGTAGGAAGTATAAAGAACAAGAAGAGGGATGTGAGTAGCAATTTTTAAAATCTAGTTCTAGTGTGTTGACCCAAAAGTCATATGATTATAAGGTCCAATGTTTTACTCACTATTTTGTATGTCAAATCAGAGGATCTTGCACATGTTCAACCCACAAATTTTCTTTTTAAATGTAATATAGGGAGAATATGGTTGGAACTTAGTATTTTGTATATGCCATTTAATTAGTTGATCTAGATCGATCAAAACTGCATGAAAACGGTAATTTATCCCTCCTAACTAGCCGAGTTTGATCCTTTTCAGACAAGAATATAATTGTAACTATTAAGGATGTATGTAGAAATCATTTGAGTTCAACTCAAATGGAATTGAAAAAAAAAAAAATACTTACAAACTTTTTTTTCTTCATTATAACATGTGTTTCTTTGGTTTTAAGCATACACTTACGTAATTTTTATTTAGTTCTTACCATCACTCCAAATTTAGTTATAGTCATAAGAAATTTTTAACCTTATATATGTAAAACATACACTAAAGGAAACTAAAATAATTGGGGTAAGTGGGGATCAAGAGAGATATTTAACGATTCTTCAATATTTGAAGGAAATGAAATCACTCCATGCCATGGCATGTGCTTACTTCAATGAGGAATCCAACAATATCAGATTTCATGAATTGATTCATCCATTCTTTGTGAATTCTCTATCTTCTCCCTCCCTACCCTCTAACAAATTGACATGTGAGATATTTCATAATCTTCTTCCTTGTTCCTTTCACTAATTTCCTCCAGTGGCTTGTAAGTGTAAAACCAAGCACATACTAAATAATAAATGAGATTGAGAACTTGAATCCCACTAAGAAGAAAATAATAGCACTCCAATCTACCCCTATTGAGGTTCCTATCAGGCAACCAGTTCCTTTCCTTGACAGAATACTTATGCACAAGTGACACTAAGAGTGTACCAACATAGTTCCCAATAGCAGTAGTTATGCAGTATAAAGCTGTAGCAGTGCTTCTCATGCTCTCAGGTGACTGATCATAGAGAAACTCCAAATGCCCCACAACCATGAAAACCTCAGCCACCCCATGAAGACAATACTGAGGCACCAACCAGAACACACTTATAGGAATAGTGGCACTTGGATTGTCCAATAAGTGGTACTTGGCAGCAACTGATTTTCTTTTCATTTCCACCAATGCTGAGACTAGTGTGGCTAAAATGTTCACCACAAACCCTACTCCCATTCTCTGTAGGCACGTGATGCCAGAAGGGTTCCCTGTGAATCTACGAGCCAAGGGAACAAAGAGGCGTTCGTAGAGAACAACGCCTATCATCATTGTTAGGACGTTGAAAATGGCCATGCTGGCTGGGGGGATTTGGAGCGAGTGAGAGATGTGTCTGTCCATTGTGCGAGCCTGTTGAATCACGAAACTATGCTGATTTGATGAAGCGGTTATCAGTAAAATTCCTGAAGCCCAAATTGGAAGCATTCTCATGATGGATTTTAGTTCCTCAACTCTGTGGACGGTGGCTACTTTCCATAAGTTTGGTGGTGCATTTGGATTTCTGACCTCTTCATCTGTCACAATTGCAGCCTTGTCCAAACATCTGAAGATATGAAGTTCAGAACAGTTAAGTGATGTTAAATGTGAAAATGCAAACTCAGCTATTGAGTGGATTATCGGGAAAAATCTAATTCTACATTAGTTAGAGGATAACACAAATAAAGTATATATTCATGCAGCAAGTCATAATAGGTCTAAATGGACCTAAATGTAAAGGTGTATTGTTCGTATATGAGTGTTTAAATTCAAGTTAGAAATATTTTTGAAAGTTATTTTTATTAAAAAATACATGATATATTTAATAGAAAAACTCTTATAAAATCACTTGAAAACTTATTTTCAAGTAGACTTTATATCAAAGCAAAAGTGGAGAAAATGGACATTTTATTGTGGGAGGCTTCTGCATTTGAAGTTCCTTTCTTATGCATCAATCATACATGAATAACCCAATCATTGTAAACATCCATATTCTTTTAAACAATGATATATGGACAACCTATTAGTATAAACACTCATTTAATACTTATATTTTCTCTGATGTATTCCAAAGAGCCAAAGCCAAGAAATCCAACCAATATCACAACTTATTATTCATACTTAAAAATTTGGAGTTGGAGAGGTTTCTCAAGCCGCCTTTATCTAAAACAGTGTGAGCATTTGATTACAAAAAGAGAATAAGGATATTGAGAACCAAATTAATATTTTATAAATTTCGTCGTCTTCTAATTTTAAATATATGTGGGGAGAAAAAGACATTATATATTATTTTTAATATAACTAATGGACGTTACAACTAATAATGGCGGGTTTACAAATGATAAAAATTATCTCGGGGTCATATCAGATTCTTTTATTTGGATCTTTTCCTTTTTTTGAATAGCAAAATATGATAGGAAAAATACATAATTTTTATTGTGCAAGAAGTAATATGCATGATTGGTTTTTAAGATTATTGACTTGTGAGACTTATTTGGATATACGTAATAAGTGTTTTTAACAGTTTTTTTTATTGAAAAAACTTTTTATTTTTGGTAGATAAAAAATACTTATAAACTTATATCTAAATATATTTTTAGACTTACTTGAATTGATGTGAGTGTAAAAGTCTTCCTTCCAGAGAAATAGGAGCATCTATCTCCCAATTTTGGTACAAAAGCTTGTCATCATCTGGCAAAGCCTCCTTCCTCTTCTTTACAGCAGCCACAACTACTTGTGCCAAACGAACCAAAGGACTACCATGTGGTTTCACAGTCTTATAGAGTGGTGAGCCCAACACAAAGGCAATTATAGATAACAGCATGGCAATTGTTGGAATTCCAAGGCCCCAACCCCAGCCCATGTTGTCTTGAATGTAAACTACAATGGTCAAAGCACTTAGAGAAGCCAATCCCATGCAGAAAAAATACCAATTGAAGAGGTTCCACTTCCTTGATGCCACCCCTTTTTTTGTCATATCAAATTGGTCTGCTGAAAAGGGCACAACACAAGGTCTAATGCCACCTGTGCCAAGTGATATGAGTAAGAGGGAGATGTAGAGTATGCACAGCTGGGAGGATGAGGCTTCTATACAGTTCACTTGTGTTGGACATGATGGGGGGTGCAGATGGGGCAGTATAGCTGATACAGTTATAACAACCAATCCCTGTATCAAGAAGAATAGTCTGGTTTAGTACTATAAAGTATGTAACATATATAGTATGTCTTATTAAAGAAATTTTAGACAAAATAAAAATATATAAACTTGAGTTTTTATTTTTTAAAATTCACTATATTCATTAAAGGCTTTACTGTACTTTTTATCACTCGTTTTTAATAATTATGCAAATTTTGTCACTCAATTATTAAAATTGTACATTTTATCATTCAAATTTTACATATTTTGTCACTTATTTGATGTTATTAGTTGACTACTAAACATTAAACATTGAGTGCTGACATAGTACATTAATTGTTGATGTGTTACATTGACCGCTAATGTAAATTATTTGTCTGATATATAAAAAATAAAGTGATTAACGTGTCATATTTTAGTCAACATATCTCGTTAATAATAAATGTACTACACGATATTTAACTAATAAGATGATAAAATGTGTAAAATTTTAAGAGTTAAGTGACAAAATTTACAAATTGGATCAAAAAATTCACTAAAATTGTAAATTTGAATGTTAAAAAGTGGAATTAAGCCTTTATTGTGATTGTAACGTCTTAATTATAATTAACAGAAACATTAAATGTAGTTCAGGGTTATTTATCCAAAACTTTGAGTACGATAGGTGACTATGACTGTGAATTTAGATTGTAGAAAGTGAAAAGGAAAGGGTAAGAAACCAGTTCATAGATGAAAGAAGCGACAACAATGGTCCAAAATCGGCCAGCAAAGGAGTCAGCAATGAAAGCACCAATTAGAGGAGTGAAGTTAGAAGTTCCATTAAAGTTGGTGATCGTGATCGAGGCAGATACCAATGACATGTTCAGCTGTTGAGTAAGGTAGCTTATCATGTTCGCATGAAAACCAGCACTCGCAAATCTATCGCACAATTCATTTGCTGCATATATCATGCACAACACCCAACAACTCCAAATTAATCTTGTTCATACAGAATATGCAACTGGACAGTGCAGTGGATACTGCTAAACATTTTTCTTATTCTGTTAATTCAGAAATTATGAACATCATCATATAGTCTTGGGGAACCCTTGATGCTCTTATACATACTTATTTTAATATGGTTCAATTAATCAATTACTGTAATATTGGACTGTGTTTTATTTCCAATCTTCATCCTTAGACTGCAGTGACTGTACCAAATCCAAATCCACCTAGCTAGAAGCTAACTATATAGTTTCATGTGGATGAAAAAATAGAAAAGGAGTTGTAATGTATGGATCTTTATCACATCAACAATTTTATCTAATTTTGTTTGGTACTGATTGTGTATATAAATAAAAATGAGGAATCATAGCATTAATTGTATACATAATTAAACAGTACTTCATCCGATAAACAGTTATATATATATATATATAGAAATAGCTAGATTTGCACATCTAACCTAGCTAATACTCTCACTCTTCTCTAATACTATCAAATTTATTCAACTATTTTATAAAAGGAGCCAAAATATATCTGGTACGAAAACGATATTTGATCGTCAATAACTTATTGTATTTTTACATAGACTACATTTTACATAATAAAATTAAAAAAAAAATGCATTTCACCACGCACATCTTTTCTACTTTTATAAAAACAAGAGGATCGCTATTTTGTCAAAACCACAGCTAGCACTAAAAGACACTAGACTTTAGCTTTCCCGAGGACTGCCTGAATGCATTATTGGTTCATTAATATATTTTTTAAAACATTTTTATTATTAATTAAAAATTAAAAAATAATGAGTGAAAAGTATACAATTTTATAATTTTAAATCTTCAACAAGAAGAAAGTTACTCTTCACCAAAAAAATTTTTTAACAAATTTTAGTTAATAATAAAGTGTTAACAGAAATTATGACTAGCATTTCTCTTCACAAAAAAAGTGGTGTATTGAATCTTGGAATGACTCAAAATCAAAATTTATTTCTCTCCTGCCCAACAAACAAATTGATTGAACATCAAAAAGACCAAGAAGGAATAGAAGAATGAGGAAGAAACAAAGGTGCAGAAGTTAAAAAGTAGTAAGGTTGAAAGTGAAGTAGAATCGAAAATGAGAATGATTAGTGAGTGAGTGGCTGACCAAGGATGAAGGGCAATGTTCGGATGCCTCCTCGTCGATGGTTATGGTGCACCTGCTCTTCTTTCTCGGCCATCTCGCCAATGCTCTTCTCTGCCTCCATGTCTGACATCTGTTTATTTTAGCATATGCTAGAGACCGATGTTGTCTATGCATATATCTACACCTTGCACTCCCTACTATATATACAAGATTAAACTATGAGTAAATTGTTTGTCTTAACACGTTTTTATACTTCCGGTTAATCAACAATCGAGTGAGAAAATCAACTAGCAGTAATCTAGTATATAACGTTTTGACTTCAAAAGTGATTTCATGTTCCATTATAATTGTATTAAATACCCTACAAATCGATGGGTTTGTTTAATGCTTGTTTTTGGAGAGAGTTATATTTCGAGAGAAATATGATATTTTGTTGTGTATCTCTTAATAACATGAATATCTATATTAGTATGATATATTGTCTATTATAAATTTATATATTATTAAATGATCTAGTATTAATGAATAATTTATGTGTTTCATAAGTTCATTTCTTATTTTATTTTAATAATATGAGACTTTATTTGTATTCAACACAAATGATATACTTATGTTTCATATTGGAGTGTGAAAACCGACGTAAATTTACGTCGGACATTACAACGTCCGACGTAAAAAGTTGTAAAAAATTTAAAAAAAAGAAAAAAAAGAAAAATGACTGCAAGTAGAACGGGCCGTTCTGGTTGGAGAATGGCTCGTGCTCCAAGCAGAACGACCTGTTCTGAATGGAGAATGGCCCGTTCTCCAACCAGAACGGCCCGTTCTCCAACCAGAAGACGCCAACCTAAACAAAACGAATATTTTGCACAAAGAAAGTAGCAAGTAGAAGAAGATGGGTTACCTTAAAGACCCTCACGAGGACAAATGCAACCGCCCCAGAAAACCCCACGTGGATGAACAAGTATTTGGGAGAAAGAACCCACTGCCCCAAGACATGAAAAAATCCATTTTTTTCAGTGAGAAAACATTGTCAAGTGAAGAAAACGAAGAAAAGGGGAAATGGTTACCTTGTTGTACAAAATGACGCCGGAAGAGAGCAAGATGTGGAAGATGAAGATGTAGAGGAAGAGCCACGATTTGAGGCAGACGAATATCTCGCTAGCCTCCATTGCACAACGCGGGAGATGAGAGTTTGGGTTTAAATTTTGATTTCTCGATTGGATTATTTACGTCGGACCTTCTAGGGTCCGACGTAAATTTTAACATCTACGTCGGACACAATGCATACCGCGTTTTTATTACGTCGGATTTTTGTATGTGCGACGTAAAATGGGTGACGTAGTATCCTATTTTTCCACTAGTGAAATAAGTTTAACATTGAAATAACTTTTTCCCAAAATCAATCTAGTCAAATTTGAACACAATTCAATCAACTAATTTTTCTTAAAAAGTGTTATAATTACATTAATAATAATATTTTATTTTAGAATTAATTATAATTAATTATTTATTGAAATTTTATTACACAAAATTATTAACATGGAAACAACTTTTCCCCACAAAAAATGTTCAACCAAATTTGGACACAATTTAGTCAACTAAGTTTTCCAAAAAAAAAAAAGAAGAAGGGGTTATGAATACATTAATAATAAGATTCTATTTTCAAAATATGGAGAAAAGATTGACACTAGAAAAGAGGTTAAATAGTGAATATCAAAAACTCACACTTTTTACAAAAGAGTGAAGTAGTATTTGAAACAAATGAAGTGTTGGAAGAGTAATAAAAAGAACAATGAAAAATTATACTGGTTCGTATCAAACACAGAGACTACGTCCACTTCTCAGCTCAACCAGATTGAGTTTCACTAACTTTCTCAAAGTTATAAGTATTCTTTCCCAAGCCATTTTTAGCTCTACAACAAGTATTCTTTGACTAGCCTTTTTAAGCCACTATCCAAGTATTTTTTTTACAAGTCCCTTTAGGCTTAACATCCAAGTATTCTTTAGTTTTTTCATGTCCAAAAAAATATTCTTTTATAGACAAGTCTCTCCAAACTCAATCTTAAAACAATGGTTATAAAGTTTACTAAAATGTTGTGTTCATCTCACTTAGATGTTATACTACCAATTACAAAGCAATAAATGTACACAAGAAGGAATAAATGTATATGTATCAATTATAATTTGTGTCTCTCGCATAAATTTTCTCTTCTTTCTTTCTTGAGTTTTGAATCTTCTTATATAGTACCTCAGAGAATATGATCGTTGCAACACTTTAAGTTCAGTGCACAAGTTTGTTTCATATGTCTTCATTGTCTTCCCTTATAGTGATAGGTAACCGTTTGACACATTTAATACGAATATTAAATACATTTCACCAAATAGTACCTTTTATTTGATCAAGGAGGCTACTTATCAACTTTATATACCAAATGGAGCTTGCAAAAGTCGTGTCAACACAAAGCAATTATAACAATGACTTTATTTGTTTTTCTATGTGATTTTAATGATTTGGTTATGGAGGAAAGCATGTTTTTTTTCTCTTTAATAGATTTGTGAGTTCTGAAATGATCTTTTTATTCAATCTGTTAAGAAATGAAACATTTAAAAGTAAACTTTATCATTAGTCTCAATAAATAATAAATATTTAATGTATGAGACAAATTGTATGTTTTGTCTTATTAACAACTGTCTAATAAACGATCTGCATTTTACACTTCATCTGCTAAACATTTCAAAGATATATTTTAAAGACATTTTCACATGCATTTCTTCTATATAAAAAAAAAACTTTATTTGTTAGCCTTAAAATTTTGAATTTAGGTGATTGTTTTTTACTTAATATAAAATATTTATAATTAACTATTAATTGAAATCTCATTATATAAACTTTTAACATTGAAACATCTTTTCATCCCAAAAAAGCTTGTCGAAATTTGGAGAAAATTCAATCAACTAATTTTTTTTAAAAAAAATTAACTAAATTAATAATAAGATTCTATTTTTTAAATTAATTAGAATTTATTATAGATTGAAATTGTACCAACTACTTATGCATTAATGAGGTACGAATTTTGTTATATGAAGTTGTTAATGTTGAAACAACTTTTCTCCTAAAAGTCTGTCCAAATTTAACAATTCATTCAATTAATTTTTCTCAAAAAGGTTAAAAATACATTAATAATAAGATTTTATTTTTAAAATTAATTATATTTACTTATTAATTAAAAGATTATTATATAAAGTTGTTATTGTGGAAACAACTTTTCTACCAAAAAATTCTACCTAAGTGTGGAGATAATTAAGTCAACCAATTTTTTTTTCAAAAGGGATTATAAATACATTAATATTAAGATTCTAATTTTAAAATTAATTACAATTACTTATAGATTGAGATTGTATCAAATGAATACTTATGCTTTAATGAGGTATAAAATCTTATTATATAAAGTTAACAGTAAAACAACTTCTCTCCCAAAAAAATCTATCCAAATTTGGAGACAATTCAATCAACTTTTTTTTTCTTCTCAAAAATAGTTATAAATACATTAATAATAAAATTTTATTTTTAAAATTAATTATTGATTGATATCTCATTATATAAAGTTTTAAATGTTGAAACGACTTTTTTTCTTAAAAAAAGTTTGCCCAAATTTTGAGACAATGCAATCAACTAATTGTTTTCAGAAATAATTATAAATACATTAATAGTGATAAGATTCTATTTTAAAATCAATTATGATGTGTTAACTAAGTACAAAATCTTAGTATATAAAGTTGTTAATGTTGAAACAACTTTTCATCCCTCTCCCTCCCTCCAAAAAAAAAATGTTATAAATACATTAATAATTGTCCATGCTTCATCATATCATGTAACAATAAGAGAATCAAGCAATATTAATCACAAAAATGCAGTGATGACTCTTAAAAGGTGTTTGTAAGATGCACTCTGTTCACTAGGTTATGCTTATTTAGTAACCAATCACTTAACCTTCATGTCAAAAATATTAACCTTATTAATGTATCCCAAATGTAACCAAGCTATGATAGTGTTAGTACAACCAAATTTATTTAAATTTTAGATTCGTTGTTCAAAGTCATTAAAAAGAAGAAGAAGAAGAAGAAGAAGAAGAAGAGGAAGAAGAGGAAGAAGAAGAAGAAGAAGAAGAAGAAGAAGAAGAAGAAGAAGAAGAAGAAGAAGAAGAAGAAGAAGAAGAAGAAGAAGAAGAAGAAGAAGAAGAAGAAGAAGAAGAAGAAGAAGAAGAAGAAGAAGAAGAAGAAGAAGAAGAAGAAGAAGAAGAAGAAGAAGAAGAAGAAGAAGAAGAAGAAGAAGAAGAAGAAGAAGAAGAAGAAGAAGAAGAAGAAGAAGAAGAAGAAGAAGAAGAAGAAGAAGAAGAAGAAGAAGAAGAAGAAGAAGAAGAAGAAGAAGAAGAAGAAGAAGAAGAAGAAGAAGAAGAAGAAGAAGAAGAAGAAGAAGAAGAAGAAGAAGAAGAAGAAGAAGAAGAAGAAGAAGAAGAAGAAGAAGAAGAAGAAGAAGAAGAAGAAGAAGAAGAAGAAGAAGAAGAAGAAGAAGAAGAAGAAGAAGAAGAAGAAGAAGAAGAAGAAGAAGAAGAAGAAGAAGAAGAAGAAGAAGAAGAAGAAGAAGAAGAAGAAGAAGAAGAAGAAGAAGAAGAAGAAGAAGAAGAAGAAGAAGAAGAAGAAGAAGAAGAAGAAGAAGAAGAAGAAGAAGAAGAAGAAGAAGAAGAAGAAGAAGAAGAAGAAGAAGAAGAAGAAGAAGAAGAAGAAGAAGAAGAAGAAGAAGAAGAAGAAGAAGAAGAAGAAGAAGAAGAAGAAGAAGAAGAAGAAGAAGAAGAAGAAGAAGAAGAAGAAGAAGAAGAAGAAGAAGAAGAAGAAGAAGAAGAAGAAGAAGAAGAAGTGGTGAGTGAAGACCTCTAATTATGTTTTAAAAATTTAAATCATATTACTCATGTGCCCCTAATCGCTCAGTGAAGACCTCTAATTATGTTTTAAAAATTTAAATCATATTACTCATGTGCCCCTAATCGCTCAACGGATGCCAATCTGTTAAGTGAAATTAAGGCAGGGAGCATCCCAAAACTTAAATACAAGAGTGTTAAACCGTTTTATAATCCGATGAACGATTTCATCTTAAAGAGGGCCCTCTGATTTTTGTAAAAAAATTTCTCAACCCTTCTAAATTCATTGAGCGAATAGTGTAAACATTAGTTTTTTTAAAAAAATTACATAATCCTTCAACCCTTTTGAAACAACTAAGCCCTTTTTCCCATGGGACAAATTTTTTTAAGTGTTGAATTTAGGATAAATTTTGCTTAGTCCTTTCTAAACGGATAAGCATATTTGATCTAAAGGCTAACTTGAAATTAAAATTTCAAAATGCACTTAGCCATTTGTTGACAGAAAGGCTTTCTCTTATACTTGCTTGGAATTCTTTTAAGTCTTTTGTCATTGAAATTTTTTATTCCTTCTACCCTCCTAGTTTCCTTTCCTACAAAACTAGAAACACACACAACATAACAAGATTAAATTTAAAGGAAGCATAAAAACATAGAAAATGACTAGGTTGTCTCCTAGTAAGTGCTTGTTTAATGTCCTTAGCTTAATGAAGTTGAGTTCTTTAGTGATCTTCGAATGTGGTCGTAGTGGTGGGCCTTTCAATTTCACCACCTAGCTTCTTTTTGGTTGTAGAATCCTCCAATTTCACTACTCTAGAAGGCTTTACCTCTTTGATGAGAAAATGATTGGGCTAGTTGGATTTTAATTTATTAGGGAAAAGTCTCACCCTAGAATTAAGCAAGAAGATTGATTAGCCAAGCTTGAACTCCCATTTGAGGATCTTCTTGTCATAAGATTTTATTTTTCCTAATTGATTTAGGTATAAATTTATTAACAAGTTTAGATCCCCAAAATTTCTTAGACTTCTTCAAATGACTTGAAATGTGAAACTTATCAAGTGTGTCTATTTTGAGGCATTTTTTTCATCTATTTGAACTTAGTTGTTGCTTATCCTCAAATACACTAAAGTTCACTTCTTTATCTTGTGTCCTCAATTGTAGTTTGCCCCCAGCCACATTTATGACTACCTTGATTGTTTTCATGAAAGACCTTCCTAGAATTAGAGGAATCTCCATGTCTTTTGTCATGTCCATTACCACAAAATCAACAAGAAATATAAATTAATCAACCTTAACCAGAACATCCTCAACCACACCATGTGAGAAATTTGGCAAATCTATCAGCTAATTGTAGGGTTAATCTAGTAGGCTTAACATCCAAATCTCCTATTCTTTTAAGCATTGACAATGGCATGAGATTGATACTAGCACCAAGGTCCATCAAGGCTTTATCAATAGAGAGACCTCCAATAATGACATGTATATCTTTGGATTTTGGTGGAAATGGTTTTTGGATGATAACACTACACCCAACGTCTAACTCAATGGTCTCTACATTAGTAAACTCTCTTTTCTTGGTAAGAAGCTCCTTCATAAATTAAGCATATGTTGGCATCGATTTTGGTACTTTTGAAAATGGAATGTTGATTTGCAACCTTTTGAATATGTCTACAAATCGAGCAAATTGTCTATTTCTGTCCTTTTTAGAGGGAGCATGTGAATATGACAAGTATTTCATAGATGGGGTCTTGGCTACACCTTTCTCCCTCTTTCTCACTTGATCAATTTTTTTCTTCAATTTTTTCTTTTTCTCTCCAACACTCATTATTTACATTCTTACTTTTATTTTTCTGTCTCTTTCTCCTCATCAACCTTTTTTATCACTCATATTTGTTTTCTTCAACGCCTTTATTGCTTTTCAAATTCTCACCAATTACTCCTCCAACCTCTCTTCCATTCCCATATAGTTTACTTCCTCCTCCCTTATAATTGTTAGGTCTTGAATAAAAACCATTAGGATGGTCTCTACCATATAAATCACATTTTAGAACTTTTTGCATAGGAGTTGAGCTAATAACTTGAAGTTGTTGAGGAAGTTTTTTTATATGTTTTGTTAGAGTTTCAATAAGTTGGTAGAGAAACTTTAGTTGTGCTAGGATTGCATCATTTATGTTTAGATTAAGAACACCCCTCCTTTGATGGTTGTGTCTATTATGTTGTGCCTGATGATCAAAAGTGGCAAGGGATTCAATAATTTTAGTAGCCTCATCAAGATCAGTTGTCATCATGGCACCTCCTACATAGGAAGAAAAGATTGAACCCAAGATCTTTGTCCCTATATCGTTTTGAAGTTTTCCTCCTTCTTTAGAGCTTTGTTCTCTCTTTGTTTATGTTTTAATAATGATCATTTTCTCTCTTCAATCCTTTATATATGTCCAATAAAATAAAATAAAGTGTATTGTAAAGGAGCAATCCATTCAGCTATTTCTAAATGGTTAAACAAATTTTTGAATTTTTCATGGTAAAAAAAGCTCTATATCTATTGAGCCCTTTCTAGTCTGTTAGGCACTTCTTAAATCCAAATTTTCATGCTTCTCTAGACTAAATCTGCTCAGCCTTTTCCAAATGGCTAATTAAGCAAAATTGCCTTGGAGCAAATCCTTGCTTCTACCTCTAATCTACTAAGCACATGCAAATTAGCTAAGTGGATTTTTGAAATTTTATGTTCTTGTGAATTGATCAAATCTACATGAAAATAAGGATTCATAAGTTCAAAATTTATGAACTATTTACAATTGACTTATTTACACATCCTTTTGGTTCTTACAATATTTTAGGAATAGAAAACAAGTTTTTCTTTTAAATCTAGTTAGATAAGTGTCAACAGAATTAAATTCTTTAAGTAAAATTAAGACTTATCAATAATAACATTATATTTTTAAAATTAATTATTTATTAAAATTTTATTATACAAAGTTATTAACGTAGAAACAAATTTTTCCCCAAAAAAATAAAAGTCCAGGAAAATTTGGACACAACTTAATCAAATAAGTTTCCTCAAAAAAGACTATAAATATATTAATAATAAGATTCTATTTTTAAAATTAATTACAATTAATTATTAATTGAAATCATATTATATAAAATTGTTAACTTAAAACAAATTTTTCTCCCAAAAACGTTGGTCCAAATTTGGAGACAATTCAATCAAATGATTTTTATTAAAAAGGATTATAAATATATTAATAATAATATTTTATTTTTAAAATTAATCATAAATTGAAATCATACCAAATGACTACTTATACGTTAAAGAGGTACATAATTTTATTATATAAAGTTATTAATGTTGAAACATCTTTTCTATAAATAAAAAATTGGCCAAATTTAGAAACAATTTAGTCAGCAATTTTTTCTCAAAAAGGATTATAAATATATTAATAATAAGATTTTGTTTATAAAATTAATTACAATTAATTATCGATTGGAATCTTATTATATAAATTTTCTAACTTTGAAATAACTTTTCTCCAAAAAAAAATAGTTGTGAAAATTTGGAGTCAATTATTTTTTCTTAGAGTTATAATTACATTAATAATAAAATTTTATCTTTAAAATGATTACAATTAATTATTGATTGAAATATTACTATATAAAATTGTTAATATTGAAATAATTTTTATTTCTAAAAAAATACATTAATAATAAGATTCTACTTTTAAAATTAATTATAATTAATTATAGATTGAAATTGTACCAAATGACTACTTATGCATTAACAAGGTACAAAATCTTATTATATAAAGTTAACGTTAGAAAAACTTCCCTCCAAATAATTTTCCCAAATTTGGAGTAAATTTGGTCAATTAATTTGTCTAAAAAAATTTATAAATACATTAATAATACCATTCTATTTTTAAAATTAATTAATTTTAATTATTTATTGAAATCTTATTATATACGGTTGTACTAGTAAGCACCCTTTCGGTCATGCAATAGGCCGACCTCTTCACTAGATCGTGATAAGGTAGGCTGTCATTTGGCGGACCAAGAGATTAAGTTATCTCCTAGAAAAACACAATAACCAGACGTAGAACGTCGTGTATCTGGGCACCCACCCCAATCAGCATCCGTATAAGAAAGAAAGGTGGATGTAGAAGATGGATATAGATGAAGACCAAAATCCATAGTACCTTAAAGGTAACGCAAAATGCGTTTGAGAGCGTGCATGTGCTCCCCCCTTGGGTCATGCATGAATAAGTATACCTGTTGCACGACATATGTAATGTCGGGTCTTGTGAATGTAAGGTACTGAAGAGCCCCTACAAGATTTCTATAAAGAGATGGATCCTCAAAAGGTGTGCTTGTAGCAGCACTGATCTTTGGTTTGGTATCAACAGGAGTAGGAGATGGCTTACACGATGACATGCCAGCTCGGTCAATGATCTCTGTAGCATATTTTTTTTTAGATAAAAATAAACCACCTGCATGACGAGTGACATTGATGCCCAAAAAATAGTTCAAAGGTCCCAAGTCCTTCATAGCAAATTCCGAGCTAAGAAGGGATATGATAGACTTACGAAGCTCATCAGAAGAAGCAGTCAAAATTATATCATCCACATATAACAATAAATAGGCCATAGAAGTACCTTGACGATAAATGAACAAAGAATGATCCGGAGTACTGTGAGAAAACTCAAGAGTATGAACATAGTTAGCAAATCTCTTATACCAAGCCCGTGGGGCTTGTTTAAGCCCATAACGAGATTTCTTTAGCAAACACCTATGATGCACGGATACGATACGTTTAGGATACGTATTAAAAATAAATAAATTAATATATATAAAATAGTAATTGCAAATAAATATCATTCAAAAATCAAAATTAAGAATACATTTCTTGTTTTTTAATTTGTAAACATTACTAAAAAAATTATAAATCATTTTTTTATTGTCGAGAAATAGGAATAGTATCAATTTCATCCCCTCCTTGACCATCATCTGTAAATAAGACAGCTTCCATTTCTGGTTCATCAAGAGATAATGACGCCACTTCAAGATTTTCAACACCATCAAAGCTACCCCATGCATCTCCACCAATGTCCCACATTCTAGTACTCCCTTGCATATATTCTTCACTTTTCCTAGACAAGAGTCGCAAATTAGTATGTACATAAACCAAGTCTTCTGCTCTTTTAGGATTCAACTTATTTCTTTTCAGGGAGTGAATGAAGGAATAAGTACTCCAATTCCTTTCGCAACAAGATGAAGAACTAGGTTGTACAAGAAGCTTTAAAGAAAGCTTTTGAAGGAGAGGGGCAGAAGAACCATGCATTACCCACCAGGATTTAGCATCTAATGTCCATCTATCTTATATAATATTCAATAATGCTTTATAAAATTTCCAATTCCATGTTTGATTTAACTGCAATTTTTTTTTCTGAGTGTTGTCTAAAAGAGAATAATTTCTTGATCCATTAGAATCATCTATTTATATACACATTATACAGAGTATAATTCGAACATTATATAAAGTATAATTCGGACATTATACAGAGTATAATTTGGCTAAAATTGGGAAACAAATTAGCTATAAATAAGGAACTAAATATACGCCTAACAGATATTATAATAAATCAGAATATATTATCATATATTCTAACACACCCCAGCAGTCGAAGCAGGAGGTCGCCGAATGCTAAGACTGTCTCGAAAATCCTCAAATAACATCAGCCGAAGACCCTTGGTGAAAATATCTGCAATTTGATAACGTGAGGGGACATGAAGCACTCAAACCTGGCCGTGAGCAACCTTTTCTCGAACAAAATGTATATCCATTTCAATATGCTTAGTGCGTTGATGTTGAACAGGATTTCCAGCAAGGTATATGACACTAACATTATCACAATATACTAATGCAGCCTTTTGAATTGGACAATGAAGCTCCAAAAGTAAGTTTTTCAACCAACATGACTCAGAAACCACATTGGCAACCCCTTGGTATTCCGCCTCTACACTAGATCGTGATAAGGTAAGCTGTCGTTTGGCGGACCAAAAGATTAAGTTATCTCCTAGAAAAACACAATAACCAGACGTAGAATGTCATGTATCTGGACACCCACCCCAATCAGCATCAGTATAAGAAAGAAGGGTGGATGTAGAAGATGGATATAGATGAAGACCAAAATCCATAGTACCTTGAATGTAACACAAAATGCGTTTGAGAGCGTGCATGTGCTCCTCCCTTGGGTCATGTATGAATAAGCATATTTGTTGCACGACATATGTAATGTCGGGTCTTGTGAATGTAAGGTACTGAACAGCCCCTACAAGACTTCTATAAAGAGATGGATCCTCAAAAGGTGTGCTTGTAGCAGCACTGATCTTTGGTTTGGTATCAACAGGAGTAGGATATGGCTTACACGATGACATGCCAGCTCGGTCAATGATCTCTGTAGCATATTTTTTTGAGATAAAAATAAACCACCTCCATGACGAGTGACATTGATGCCCAGAAAATAGCTCAAATGTACCAAGTCCTTCATAGAAAATTCCGAGCTAAGAAGGGATATGATAGACTTACGAAGCTCATTAGAAGAAGCAGTCAAAATTATATCATCCACATATAACAATAAATAAGCCATAGAAGTACCTTGACGATAAATGACCAAAGAATGATCCGAAGTACTATGAGAAAACCCAAGAGTACAGACATAGTTAACAAATCTCTTATACCAAGCCCGTGGGGCTTGTTTAAGCCCATAAAGAGATTTCTTTAACAAACACACATGATTAGGTCGATCAGGGTCCCAAAACCCCAAAGGTTGATACATGTAAACAATTTCCTTGAGTTCTCCATGTAAGAATGCATTTTTTACGTCAAGTTGATGAATAGACCAAGCTTTAGAAAGAGCCAAA